CATTCTGAGGCCTAGCTGTGTGCTGGGTTGTTATTGTACGGGTCACAACCCGTGCAGTGTTTGCTTGTTTTACAATAGTAGTCAAAGATCCTCACATTAAAACCCTAACACTCAAGTCCTTGACAGTACTTCCTACAACTGCTCAGTGAGGTAGGGCAGGGTTATGGGTTAGGTGTTACCACCCTGTTCTCTGTGCCTTTGCACAGCCTGATCCAGGCCCAGCACAGGCATGATGTAGCTATTGTCTGGGGGCTGCACACAAGGCTTACAGTGGGCCAGGCCGGGTCTCCAGCCCCTCTAAAATATTAGACAGCTCGGAGGTGGGGCAGAGGAGGCCAGTTTCCCAGCTGGCTACTGAGCAGCGCCCCCCCCCAGTGGCAGATGAGGAGTGTGGGGTCAGGCAGTGCTACAGGTTATGTCTGCACTAGCTGGGGGTGTGTCTCCACACTCACAGATACATACTCTTGCTAGCTCCATGAACTTCATGCTTTGGTGCCTCAGCACCTTCTGCTTTGTCAATCCACACCCCTGCACCTCTCCGCCATTGCCCTTCAGGCTTGACCAATGGCCTCCCTGCTAGCCAGTCCTGGGCATGGCATCCGCACAGCTCTGCCAATGCACCTCAGTGACCCTCAGCACCCCTGCTACCCTAATCCAGGCCGCCACATAGCTCTGCCAATGCACCTCAAGCCCGACTCACAGCAACCCTGGCCACTGCATTAATGATCCGTCATCCAGCTCTGCCAAAGGGCTCGGTCTGAGCTCGAGCACCCTGGCTCACGCCCTGAGACTCGGGTCCAGACACCCAGCAGCTCCCATTGCTCTTAAAAATGGTTGGCCCCCAGGAAGAGGTTGAAGCAGATTAAAATAGGAGGCAGGGCTCATTGGTGCTGGTGGCTGCCACCCTCTGTGTGAAGGGGGCTGTGTTATCAGCTGATGATGGGCAGGAGCAAGAGCAGATAAGAGGGAGCTCAGTCCCCGCTTCCCCCACACACCCCTCCCAAGTCAGCCAAGCAAAAGTGTAAGTGCCCTGTGCAGGGCTTGGGGGAGGGGCATCCCCAGCAGCTCCACCCCCTCGCCTATAAACGGCACCATTTAGACATGCTGAGGACAGAGAATGCAAGATCAACAAATCAAAATGGAGAGTCCGGGGCTTTTTGTCCTGGAAAAAATGTAAACCCTGGAGGCAATTTCCTGCATCTGAGGTGATTTCAAGACTATTTCATAAGAAAAAAATTCTGCAAAAGAAAGTGAGCAAAGGGACTTGAGCTGACATTTAACTGTGACAGCTGGCGGCTTGCGCTGTACTCCTGCGCTATCAGCAAATGTGCCCCAGAGTCATGCAGGGCAGTGGCCAGAGGATGACACCAGAGCAGGTTCCCCACTGGCCTGTCTGTATGGATGCTGGGAGCCCAGCCTTAGCTGCCATCTCAAATCCCTACCCAGCCACATCCCCTGGCAGCTCTGTGGGTAGGGCTATCAGATTTTGGCACCAGGCTTCCCAGATATGTGTATTTGTTTGGGTTTAAATAGAGGCACAGAAAAGCAGGGTGCTCCTTTATGCTAGATCATGCTACACCGTTAGTTCAAATTACACTACTCAGCCAAACCAGCAATATATTGCCCTCCTCGCCACACCCAAACATAGTACAACCACAGGAAGAAAACACTGATTATGAAACAGATCAAAATCCCCCCCAGCCTCCATCCAATCCAGCCACCTCAGCCCTCCTCAGATGCCTGCTCAAAGAGCCAGACAGCACCGGGGGCCCTGAGGGGCCACACATTTGGGGCATTTCAGACCAGGTTTGGGCGTGAGCAGCAAGTTGAATGTCTCTTACAGAGACCGCCCTCCCTTGGCAACCAAGGGCCAATGGCTCAAGCAGCTCTACTGATCCCAACTGCAGCATTATGGCATGGGGAGCGGAGCGGTCTCTCAGGTCCCAATCATTTAGGGCTTTACAGATCAAGACCAACACCTAAATTCAAGAAGGTGTATGACAGGAGAGTAGCCCGGGGCCTATTGGCCACCGCCCTCCAGGGATCATTGAGCAGCTGGGAAGCAGCAATGGAACAGTCAGATCAGGCCTGGATACTGTAGGTCATGGCCGGCGGAGATATTATCCTGGTTTGCTACGGCCTGGGCCATAGCTCATTGAGTCCAGAGTCACGGCAGATCGGCGACAGAGTGTTGTATACTCTAGGAAGTGCCAAGCTGCCATTGGAGCAGGCACTAATCTATGTTAATGAACAAGCCAATAAGTAATTAATACAGGCACTAGGCTGAGACCGCTGAACTCATCTCCTAAGTGAGCCTGTATTTTCTGGCTGCAAACACAGGCAAAGCACTCAATAAACCAGCTGGAGAGGAATTTAATCAAGACGGAAAAGCCAGTGGGGCGCCTGCTGGCAAGGTGAGAAAGCAGGGCTGATTAACTGACATGCCAGGGACTCAGAGCTGGTTCCGGAAGGGATGGTGGGGGATTCCCATCTAGGCGGGGCACAGTTGGGATAAAAATGGCACCAAGTGCATGGAGCAGGAAGTGCATGGAGGCTAGTAGCGGTATGTGACCACACAGGCTCCTCAGCTCAGTGTAATACACCCCACCAGCCAGCCCGCGATTGACACACTGACAGGCAAAACCAGATAGGAGCTTCAGTGCGTTGCCGGGAAGGCTTTGCTGCAGAGCTGCAGGGCCAGCCTGTCAGTCAAAGCGCTCCTAGGCCACCGTGTGCATGGGAGAGGATGCTCCGAAACGTCTGCCAGAGAAAACCTTTGCCAGTACGAATGGCAGAACACGGGCAGGGTAGAAATGCTCTGAGTGAAGCTCAAACCTCCACTAGCAGCACTGGGCAGAGCAATGCGGCCCCAGCCCTGCAGGACACATGGCCAGAAAAGGAGGAGGGCATCTGTCCTGCTGAGCTACTACAATAATGGCTCTGGCTGTGATGGCAGCACATTGGCGCGGGATAGGAAGGGTTAAAATGAGCCCTGGATTAACCCTGTGCAGCTCCGGACTTTCTGACCCTCTCTGATGTTTCAGGTCATCTAAGTTCTTTGTCCAAAGCTGGGATTGGCAACCTTTGGCACGCGGCATGCCAGGGTAAGTCCCCTGGTGGGCCGGGCCGGTTTATTTACCTGCCGCGTCCTCAGGTTCGGCCAATCGCTGCAGGAAGCGGCAAGGGGCGAGGGATGTGCTGGCCGTGGCTACCCGCAGCCCCCATTGGCCTGGAGCGGTGAACTGTGGCCAGTGGGAGCTGCGATCAGCCGAACCTGCAGACACGGCAGGTCAACAAACCGGCCCGGCCCGCCAGGGGGCTTACCCTGGTGAGCCGCGTGCCAAACGTTGCCAATCCCTGGTCCAAAGGGTGAGTCAATGAAAAGAATCAACATGGGTTCCTAGCCATAGGGCAGCCGGGGCAGCCAGCTACCAGGCAGAAGAATCCCAAGGCTAGACTGGCACAAGTGGGTGCTACATCTGGGCCAAATTCTCCTCTCAGTCACCCCACTGATTCCCATAGGGCTGTGCCAGTGTAGCCGAGGGCAGCAGCTGAGCCACTGTACCGAGGTTGTCAGTAGGAGTTTCTTGCTGTGCCTTTCCCATCCCTCTCTCCCCCCAGGCGCTTTCTATTTGTTTTTCACTCTGCTCTTCGCCCTGTTTTTCTCTCCTTCCTCTCTGTTCGGTCACCTTTTCTCCTCCCTGGATCACAGACCCAGTAACACTGGGGTTGAGACAGAACCCACAGTGCTCCACTGAGTTTGAAACCAGTTTGCACCACCCCAGTTTGAACACAGCGGGGCCATACGCAGGACGTAAGGTGTTGAGAACGTGGGTAGTGTGGCATAGTAGACAGAGCAGTGGACTGGGAGTCCGGACACCTGGTTTCTATTCCCAGCTCTACTGCTAGATCTCCTTGCTCAAGTCAGTTCCTGCCTCAGTTTCCCCACCCCTAAAATGGGGCTAATGGTTCTGACCTCCTTTGTAAATCACTGAGAGCTGCTGAGGAAATGCTCTGTATAAAAGCTAGGTATTATTATATTATCATTCAAACCCATATGGACATCCCTCCTGGACTTGAACTCTGACCTTTCTCAGAGCATTACCCAAAACCAGGACTACAGGTTTGGCATGGTGGGAACAATGTCCCAGATACCAAGATCTTCCTGAGTCCATGACTTACCTTTGTGTCTGTGGCTTTAATAAACTCACCCCACAGCAGCAGCTCCTGCCCCGTGGGGCTGGGCCTGGCTCTCTGCTCGGAGGCTTGTGACCAGGCTCATGGGTTGCAGCACCGCTCAGGTTTGGCCCGGCTGCCTCTCCATTATCATGATGGAGGCATGGCCGGGTCAGACCCGAACAATGCTGAGACCACGTGCACCAAGTCTCAATGCCCAGTGTGGGGACCAGGGCCCAGCCCCATGGGACAGGAGCCAGCACTGACTGAGGGATAAAGGTGGGGTGGGCTCACTCTCCATCCTAGGGTGACCAGATGTCCCATTTTTATAGGGAAAGTCCCATTTTTGGGGACTTTTTCTTATATAGGTACCTATTACCCCCTGTCCCGTTTTTTCACAGTTACTATCTGGTCACCCTACTCCATCCCCAACTCCACCCGGGACCCCTCTTCCTCATTTGTCATGGCAATTTTTATCAAAAATCACAAACCAGTGACTTTTATAACTTTACCATGCCTGATTTGTGATTTCTGATAAAAGATGCCGTGACAAATCTGCAGCCCTACCCATAACCACAAAGCCTGTGACACTAAAACAGAGTGCAGCTATTTATAAAATCTAGGCTTTCCTGGAACGTGTCCTTTGGAGGCAGCCCATCGAGCAAAAGAGCCGGGAAATGGTATGAAGCTAGAGGCGTGCTCGACACCCAGCCGCAGCATCACAGCATTTCAGGTGGGTGGGGAGGGGCCCGATGGTCACTGAATGTAAACTTTCCAAGGCCTTTTTTGATCCAGTTCAGTTAAGAAAAACAAACAAACCCACTTCAGTTGCACCTGATCTGCTGCTGTAAAAGCCCCGTCCATGCTGAGATCAGATGGAATTTGTTTTTAATGTCATGAAGGCGACTCCCACTTAAGTGGCATCAAGAAAACAAGCCAACGTCCAAGCTTGCACCGGCCTGCTTGGAAATGTCCTTCCATCTTTGTGCTGCTGTGGGAAGCATGAGCAATGAAGGGAGGTTGAAGCTGTCAGGAGCCACAGACTCTGCCTGGAGGCCTGCTGGGAAAGGAGCAGAGAGAGCAAATGGATGTGACACAGGAATCAAACCACCGCCCGCACACCCAGCTCTAGAGCTGTCCTCATGCGCTTTCCTTGGCTCAGTGACTGTTCATCATTCACAGTGGCAATTCGTAGTCCTTCATAAGGACAGCGACTAGTCATTGGGCCAGGGAACGCGAGCGAGAATGATGGGACAGCCTGGTGTCTAGGGATCGATGTGACATGGGAGTGGCTCAGGCTAGCTACCCGAGTCCAAGCCCACCTGACCCCCTGGGTCTGAGTTCGGGTGGCTAGCCCGAGGGCCCTGATCCTGATCAGAGCTTCTGGGCACTTCCTAAACACAAATAATCAAAGTTTGAAGGTACGGTGTTTGGACAGGGCTAGTCTCCTTGGTGTATCAATCTCTTGACAGCATCAGTAGGAATTATGCATATACATATCCTGGGGTAGAGCAGTGTTACAGAGCATTGCCTTTATTCTGTCCTTAAGAAACTCTGATTGTTTGTAAAATAAGGTCTCTAACATCTTACGGTTGTGCACTCTGTTGTTGTCAATGCTAGGTAACTCCTGTAGATTTTGGTGGCTTATATGTAACCTGCTAATGAGAGCAAGATGGGAGGGACAGGGTTAGAGTGCTTTTTGGGCTGGACAGAAAGATTTACTGGATAGAAAGTCTGGCTGATTTCTCAAGCTTTCAGCATGTAGGTGAAAAAGACAGAGGGCCAGATACATCTGTGCTGTAATGCCATCTAACTCAGTTACACCACGCACGAGATGAATTTAGATCCTTCCTTTCATAGGTGCTGGATCTAGCACCTCCTGGTTTGAAGTGGTTTCTATTATATCCAGGGTTTACAGTTTGGTTCAATGGGTCTCAGTGCCCCCAATATACAAATTGTTCCAGCACCCAAGCTTTCTTTACACGCAAATAAGTCGAGTGGCATCTAAGCAGGGGGAGGTGGTAGTGTACTGAAGAGGAATGGTCAGGCCAGCACAGGCCTTCCCTTGTTTAGCTGGTCAGGGATTTTTCCATCAGAAACTGCCAAGTCGTCAACACCACAACTTTTTGTGAGACGGTTTTGATGAAGTTTTTTAATTTGAAAATTTTGGAGGGGCGGAGGGGGAAATTTGGAAATTGTTGAAACGTTTCATTTCAAATCTGTAAAACTCTGGTTGGTGTTTAGATATGCAAGCTAATGTAAGTTAAAAAAATCTTTTCATTCTGAAATTTTAAGCTAATTATAGTTTTAAAAAGTTTTAAAAAAACAGAAATGTTTTGATCGATCCAAAAGTGGCTTTTCCCCCCACACGTTTGGTTTGCAAAAAATCTAGAGATTTTGCTTTTTGGTTCCCAATTCAGGACAGGAATATTTGTTGATCTCTCAAAATATTTCAACAGGCAGGAAACCCATTTCCTGCCGTATGGTGCTCCCCAGAGAACGACGGAAAGGGCGGGACCATGAGGAAATCTTGCTTGCCTCATGGTTGGCTTCTCTGAGAGCAGGGAGGTCTATGTTACCCATGATCTTGTCCTGTGCAGAGGAGGCCTGGGAGAGAGTCTACATAATGGAACAGGTGAAACCGCAGCATTCCTTGAGCAGGGTGAGGCCTGTTTTGGTCACGTACGGTGTGGAGGTTTGCTGCCCTCTGGACATCATCTTCTTCTCTTTGACAGGGGCTGTTAAAAAGATCTTGTTATTGTAATGGTCAACAACAAAAGAGCAGAAGGAGGGCTAGTGTCAGTGTCACCTCTTAGGGCTTCCCTCACTGGATGGGACCTGGGTCCCAAGAAGTCAGGGCTGGGATGTACCTCCCAAATGATCAGGGCTGAGACATATGTCCCTAGGAGTCATGAGACATGTCCCATGTGATCTCAGATGCGACTGAATGGGCCCAGACTGGACTTGCCTCCCAAACAGTTGTGGATGGAACATGTCTTTATTATTGCCAGGGATGTGCACATCTCACTCCGTCAATGATCTGCCTCCTTTGTGGATAAGGAAGGGCCCCAGAAGGAGGAGATATGCTCTGAATGACCACGCATGGAACATGGGGGACGGGCTATGATAAGTGTTTTGAGTAGGGTGACCATGTTTAGATAACAAGGTGATGGGGGTCACATAAGTAGCTGGGTAGAATAACAGACATGGTAAATACCTGAACCACAGAGGGGGCAGCCACCCCAACCAGCCCCCAAAGCATCTTTGTGGAAAAGCCAGGCAAGAAGCAGAACCGTGACATGTAGATCAACCTCTCATCTTCCTGGGATATGACACTTAGGCATCAGAGACAGGCAATAGCCCCTCTGTTGAGTTGCCACTCCCCTCTCCCTCTTTCTTCTGGTGGCATATGGTCCCAGTGTGAAAATCGCTGGTCTGTTTATAGCAATTAATTCTTGGGACTAGCCAGTTTTGTAAACAGGAGAACGTGCCAAAGAGATGTCTGTGCGATAAATAATACGAATCAGGCACCTACTTGCTTTCTGGAGGCAGCTTTTGGAGAGCTTTGTTTGCAGGAATTCAGCCATTTCCTTGTCTTCTTCTTTTTCTCTATGACAGGTGGAAATTGGTTCTTGCTTAGTAAATGGGCCAGTGAATCACTCAGGGTACACAGCAAAATAACCCCGCGGCAGCCAGTCTCAGACCCCTGGTCAACTGACATGGGCTTGAGGGGTTTGTGCTACTGGGCTGGAAGCAGCAGTGTCGCCGTTCCCTCTCGGGCTGGAGCCTGGCTCTGAGCCCCCCCCCCCCCCCCCCCCCCCGCCCCCCCCCGCCGGGGCCCCAGCCCCCGCGGGAACGTCTACACTGCTGTTTTTCAGTGCAAGCCCAAGTCAATTGACCCGGGCTCTGAGATTCACAGCCGTGGGTGTGTTTTTTGCCATGTAGACGTACCCACAGATGCTCGTTTTGAGTAGGGTGACCATATTTCCCAAAGGGAAAACGGGACACCACGTGGGGCTAGCCTGCCCCCACCCCTGCCCCTGTGCGGGACTGGTCCGAGCCGCTTTCCCAAGCCCCCGCCTGCCCCTCCCCGCACGGGGCTGGCTCAAGCCGCTAGCCCGAGCGCTGCCTGCCCCCCTGCACGAAGCTGGGGTCACTGCTTGCCCAAGCCCTGCCTGCCTCCTGCCCGAGCCCTGACTCCCCCCCCCCCACGTGGGGCTGGCATCACCACTTGCCCCCACACACACCTTCCTCCACATCCCACTTTTTTTGACAAAAGTGGGCATTTGTCCCATTTGCACTTGCCAACTGATCAAGTTGACAAGAGCCAACAGGACAAATGCCCACTTTTGCCAAAGAAGTCCGGACGGGACCGTCCCAGCCAAAACGGGACGTACAGTCACCCCAGTTTGGAGACAGAGAGGCATTGTCTGGTTGGAGCACAGGACTGGGAGCCAGGAGATCTTGAGTTTTGATCCCATCTCACCGTCTGATTTCCTTTGCAATCACAGGCAAGTCTCTTTACTTCTCTGTGGAGCGAGTGTATGAGAGCAGGGGGCGGATTTCAACTACTATCTGTGACTTTCAGTGGGGATTGGCACCTAAATGCCCTAGGCGCCTTTGAAAATCCCATTTTTTTTTTGTGACAGCTGCCTTCTTGGCCAATGCACTGGGGATCGAACCAGGGACCTCCAGAGCAGTGGCGTAGCCAGCTTCTAAGTGTAGGGGGAGCAAACATAAAAAAGGCACCCCCCCCCTTGCCTCCTCCTCTGGCCACACACACCCCTTGGCTCCTCCCGGTTCCCCCCCAGATTAACCCCGGGGCCCGGCTCAGGACTCCTGCGGGCAGGGCCGGCTCCAGGCACCAGCTTAACAAGCAGGTGCTTGGGGCGGCCAAGGGAGAGGGGCGGCACCTGCGGCAATTCGGGGGCAGCAGGTCCCTCACTCCCTCTAGGAGCGAAGGACCTGCTGCTGAACTGCCGCCGCCGATCGCGGCTTTTTTTTTTTT